TGTAGTACAGAGTAGCCAGGAACTTGCTGGTCTCAACCTCCCGAGTGACAGGATTACAGGTATGTACAGCCTCACACAGCAACAAAGAGGAAAAGTTGAATAGAGCAGAGGCATGGAGAAAGGCTGAATGATGGACCATGCAGCTGTGTATCAGACGTTCTGCAACCATCTGGTACCTGCTACATTTCCACTTCCCTCCCCTCTAGTCTTTCCTGAAGTAACTAGGACATGTACGAGTGTTTGAGCCTCTAGACAGCAAAGATGTAGGCTGAACATGGTGCACACACCTGTAATCCCAGCACTCAGGAGGCTGAGGCAGGAGGTTCACCAGTTTAAGGCCAGCCTGGGCTATAAAGAGAAAACTTATCTCAAAAACCAAAACAACCCCCAACACAAACATTCTTTATGGACTGGGGATTCAGCTTGGTAACAGAGATTAGGATCAGTGTGAGCACAGCCCTGGGTTCCATCCCCAGCTCCAAAAAACCTAAAAACCTTCTTTAGATGGGGGACGGGCTGGCTGAGAAGATCTAGTGACAGTAATCACCTGGCCCACAGGTGGGTGGGAGCTATGACCTCCTCTAACAGGTCAGGAATGCAAGAACAGGACGGCTGGCACTTGCCCCTTCTTTACCTTGAGCTTTGAACTGAAGAGTGTCGCCCACCGCCTCCCCGCTGGCATCCACGTGGTACCGCTTAGCCTTTTCTTGTAACACAGCATCAAGAGCGTCCTGTGCAATTCGCCTTGTGGCCATGCTTCCTGCCTTGCAGAGAGAGAAGAAAAAAACACCAAATAACATCTCCTGCTCAGAGCCTGTGCAGGTAGCCTGGTGCCTGGCCCTAGTCTTGGCACTTCAAAGGGAGGGGGAGGTGTGTCTCTGCCCACCTGAAGCTCACAGGTGTGTGCTGGGATGTGTCAAGAAAGGCCTCCACTTCTATTTCTTGGGTACTGGAGGATGGCATGATGGGAAAGGGGGGGGAGGGGAACACCCCTCGCTGATGATGCTCAGGACAGATGGATGGCGGCTCTCTCCCCACGTCGCAGACACACGGGAGAGACTGGAGCTCACCCAGCCTCTGACAGGAGCCCGTGGGCGAGCGAGGCCCCACCTCGTCACAAAAGGTAGTGACAGAGCTCCGTGTGTGCCAGGTCCCCAGGCTGGCTCTCTTGCTTTTCCCCCAACAGCTCACTGGAGCTGTGAGTCCTATTAAGAGTGACAATCCACAGGGGAGGAAGAAAGCAGACATGGGCTCGGTGACCCACCCAAGGTCAGGCACCCGGGACTTGACCTGGCACCGGTGGCCCTGCGAGTGGGGACAGAGCTTGGAAGGACAAGTGGAAAACGATTAAGAGGTGACGCTTGGGATTTCAGTGGCCCTGTCCTTAATCCCCAAGCCGTCCTGCCCGGTGACACCTCCAACTCCACATGCACACCTGCCTGGCAGTCATTTTATGACCATCGCCCATTTTTTTTTTTTTTAAATGGCTGCACCCACTTTTCCCGTTTCTGGACCCTTGCTCTCTGCTGGAGAAGGGCAGAGTGTCCCAGTAAGGTGGCCTGGCTTCTAACCAAGGGTCCTGACCCTCGCGTGCCTCAGTTTCCCCACCTATGGCGTGGACACCTGCTGTGGGGCCTGAGCGAGCCCGTTCTCAACAGCGCCGGGCCGCCGTTACCGCCCCACGAGCCGGCTTCGAGCGGAATGAATGAACCAGTGACCCACAGAGTCCCACGGGTGCGGCCCGCGTCCCCAGACCCACAAAATGGGGAACCGGGCCCCAGAGGCCTCAGCGCGTCCCTCCCGGACGGGTCGGCCAAAGCCCGGGGACCCAGTCTGCGGCGCCATCGCGGAGCCACCCACCCCCGAGCCCACCCACCGACGACGCCGGAGCCCGGGCCTCACCCCGAGCCCACCGCGCGCGGAGCCTCCGCCACCGCCGCCGCCGCCTGAGGCGCTTGACCCGCTGCCGCGAGAGGCGGGGACATGCAAATGAGCTAACGGTCTCCGCAGCGCCGCGCAGGCGCACGCCGCCACCTCCGCCTAGCGGCGCAGGCCGAGGCTCTTCTTGTGCGCAGGCGCAGACCGCCGTTTCGCGCTAATGCGCAGACGCAAAATCAGACCACGCCCCCTCCCCTGTACGCTTGCGCACATGTCCGCGGTCACGCCCCTTGCGCGTGCGCAGACCGATGGTGTCGCGCCCTCTTGCGCAGGCGCGTTGTCCGCTTCTTTTACGCGGACGCTCCCTAAGACAAAAACGTCCCTGCTGGGAGGCAGCTGGTTGCAGACGGCAGAGACGCCGCGCTACGTGGCCGTGCTTGGCTTTACCTGCGCTCTTTGTCACCCTTGGTTACCCCGGGAGCGGTCTGCCCGGCGGAGGGAGGCCGAGGCGAGTCGGCGGCACTGGGCCTGCGCGCGTACGGCGGCCGGAAGGGGCCAGAGGCGGCGCCGCGGGTGACAGCGCGAGCCCCACCCTTTCCCCACGTGTCTGCGGAGACCGGGTGAGAGGAGGAGGTCGCCGCTCCCCGTCGCGCGCGGAGTGGGGCATGGGCGCCGCGGGGTCGGGCTGGCTTGGGGGAAGGAAAGAATTTTAACAGAAGCCGCTGGGGGACCAAATCCCCCGCTTCCCTAAATGTCCTTTTTTTTTTTTTTTTTTCTCCTTTTCTTTTCAAAAATTCATTTCATTCATTCATTCATTCGACACCCGTCCTAGGCAGGGGTGGGGCTGGGAGGCGACACGGTGCAAGCAATTCGGTGAGCCGCGTCGCCCTAGATACCAAGGTTGCAATGCAAAGAATAAGAGGGATGGGGTAGGAGGGACTTGGAGGCCATTGCAGGGTGTTGGGCGGATGAGCGAGGTGTTCTCGGGGTGCTGCTTTCGGGGCCCCCCCTGGATGCTGAGTGGAGATTAGGGGCAGGGGGTGTGGAAGGAAGGGAGAGGTGAGGCCATTCGTGATGGGGCACGGTGCCTGACCCCTGCGGGCGGGGTAAGGCTGATAGAGGGTGACAGGAAGTCATCCAGGGTCCCCATGAGGTCGTTCCACCGTTGTCATTCTTTGTTTTCCCCCCTTCATCTTAACTAAGTTTAATTAATAAACATAAGTCGATTGGAAAAGATCACTGTTGACAGGATTGTTGGGGGAAGGTATTTTTGTACACAGGTGACGAGATGTAGGCAATATTTTTGCAAGGAAATAACTTCAAGACTTGCTTAGGGCTTGAGTGCTTGTCCAGCAAGCTTGAGGCCCTGGGTTCCCAACCCCAGCACCACAGAAAGCACAGGCAAGAATTCTTCTCTTTTCCTTAGCTTTGGACCTTGGAAAGCCTCAACAACCCTTTTTTTTTTTTTTTTTTGATTTGCACTCAGGGCTTCACACTTGCAAAGCAAGCTCTACTGTTTGGGCCACACATCCAGTCCGTTTTGCTCTGCTTATTTTGGAGATGGGGTCTCCAGAGCTATCTGCTTGGACTGGCCTCCAGCCATGATCCTCCCAATGTCAGCCTCCCAAGTCATTGGGATTACAGGCGTGAGCCACTGGCCCTTGATGCTCAGCAACTCTTAAATGGGCCCCTGTGCTTCTGGAGCTGAAAGGTGGAGGGGGCTGTCTGCAAGTGAGTCAGGTGGGGGTTTGACGTCCTTATGGCCCATGCAAATACGCTGGTGAGTCTCACACACATTCACCATCTTTTTTTTGGTGGTACTGGGCAGTGAACTCCGGGTCTTGTGCTTGCTAGACAGGCGCTGTACCACTTGAACCGTGCCTTCAGTCCCTGAGTTACCTTTTTTAAAAAAAATCGCTTTGTATTTTTGAATAGCCTGCATTATTTGAGTTACCTCTTAGGAACAAAGAAAAGCAGCAATAGCTGGCGGTTTTTAATGAAAAAAACTCCATGTCAGATCCATCCTGAGTGCTTATACTTGGTTTGATGAGCACTGCTGTCTGGGGAGGCAGAGCCTGCATTCACTCCATCTCACACAGGAGACTGGAGACCCGAATCCCAAAAGCTGGCTGGGGTCCGGTCCCCCTCCCAGGCTGTGTGCAGGAACACAAGTGAACTGTTCACATCCTGTGCTACTTTTCCCAAACAGATGCGTGTGCTGGAGAAGCCTGTTTCCCACAGCGTCCAAATTTACCCTGGGACTTTGGCCCAGTTTCTGTACCATGATCCCAGGACCTCATGGGCTTCCCCTCTTCTCCCCGATGTGACGTGTGGCTCTGAAATGGCCAAGAAAAGTAAAATGAATTGTCATAAACGACAACTGAGAACCCTGGGCACGGGCTGTGTATCAGCAAACAGTGGTGGAGGCTGGGGCGTGTCTCAGTGGTAGAGCTCCTGCCTAGCACATGCAAGCCATGGTGTCTGTCCCCAGCACCAAAGTACTGGTACCCAGCATCCCCACCCTTGGTAATCACCATCATCCTAGCACTGGTAATACTGACATAAATGTGTTACGTCAGTGCTAAATTCAGTTTGCGCTACGCTCTGTTAGAGAGAGCCACTTTCCTGAGCATTTATGCTGGTGTCTTTAAGGGACCGAGTCCTGTCTCCTGACACACAGAGATAAGTATGGCCATTGTGTGCCGGGGGAAGGTGGAAGGTGTTCCTTGCAGTTCCACTGTGTTTGACAGATGGATTTGATCCTGATCACTGTGATAAACACGCAGGAGTTAAGCTGGTTCAAACAGTGTCCTCCGTGAAGCCCGCACCTCAGCTCCTCCCCTGTGCACAGGCAGGTGAGAGGTGTTAGGTGTTGAGGACTAGCTTGTGCCTGTGCAGAGCAGCTATGGGTCGGGAGCCTTGCAAGGGGAATTCCTGAGCCTGGTCCCTCTGTTTATTTATTTGTGGTGCTAGGGATGGAACCCAGAGGCTCACACGTGTTGAGCAGGTTCTCTACCCCTGAGCTATGTGCTATATGCCCACCTCCAGCTATGTTTTCTTTGGTTTTGGTTTTGTTTTTTGGTGATACTGGGGCTTGAACTCAGGACCTTGTGCTTGCTAGGCAGGTGCTCTACTGCTTCAGCCACGCCCAGCCCTTTTTTTTTGAGTCAGGGTCCGAACTCTTGATTCTCCTGCTTCAGCCTCCGGAGTGAGTGCTGGGGTGACAGGCGTGGCCCTCACACCAGGCTGTCCTACACATTTAGAAGGTCTCAGGCTATCAAGAGAATCCCTTTCCCCCTGCTCCTGGTGACAGGATTTTTTCAGCGTGGTCATCAGGTCTGGCCCTGGTAGATGCCCCCCACTGGCATTCTCATGATGGCCAGGCCCTGGCCACATGCACCTCCTAACGAGTGTCCCCTCTCCTGACGTCCTGCAGAGGGCAGGGATGGCCTCCAGGCGCATCACCCAGGAAACCTTTGATGCGGCTGTGCATGAGAACATGGAGGAGTTCGAGATGAGCCCTGAGGAGGCCATGAGAGAGGCGGTGGAGCAGTTTGAATCGCAAGGTGGGTGGCATGGCTTGGCTGTGTCTCCTAGAGCAAGCACGCTGTGAGCAGCCCCCTTGTGCCACTGCCTGTTGGGCCTGTCCCCTCCTGCTCAGGTCCTGCCTCCCCCTCCTCTGATAGAATAGGGCCTCATGTTCGCTGTCATTTCCCTGACAGGGCCTCCCTGACACAAGCTCCACCTGCATGTCAGCTAGGGCTCAGAGTGACAAGAGGTGGTGGTCACCTGCTGTGGAGAGCTCAAATGCGCACACCAGGCTGTGCAGGGGAGAGGCTGTGAGGGCCATTGCCAAGAGCAACAGGGGCAGGGACCCTGCCAGCCCTGCCAGAACCCTGAGGTGCCCAGGAAGCAGCAAGACTCACCTGGCTGAGGCAGCACCAGGCCCAGGTGGCAGGGGCTGCTGGGCACTGATGCCCTATACCCCAGTCCTCCTCCCCTCCCAGCCCAGCTCTCCGTTGGGACGGCCACTAGGAGGCAGCAGGCGAGGAGCTGGGTCCCAGCCCCAGAGATCAGATTCGCCTCCTGAGCACAGAGCGGAATGTGGACTCTGGACAGGGGCTGGTGGGGCTTCCTGTGGGGACACAGCCAGGGCCAGGAGGGTGGGAGTTGTGGGGGACAAGGCTGGGGTTCCCTCCCAGCTCTCAGACCACAGGCAGAAGTGCTACTTCCGCACACAGTGGGCACAGGGGTCACATGGCCACTGTGCTCCAGTTGCCTGGCTGGGTCATGTGGCAGGAACACCCCTGGCCACTCCTGTGTGCCTTTGGCTGATGGGCCTGGCCTGCCCAGTAAGGGCCAAGGGGCGGGTGGGAGACCTTGGAAGGCAGGTGTGAACAGGCCTAGCAGACAGAGGACCCTAGCTGTCCCTTGTTTCCCATGCCCCTGTCCCTGCAGGGGTGGATCTGAGCAACATCGTGCAGATGGCGCCCAAACTCTCTGCAGATGGAGCCCCAGAGCCCGGGCATGGCGTGCTGCAGGTAGGAGTGGGCATACATGCAGCCCTGCTCCCCTGGACAGGGGCAGACCGTGGAGCTGAGGGCCTGGCCTGCCCGGTGCACACAGGCGACCCGAGTCCACGGCAGGGGTGTTCTGAGATGGGGAGCCCGGATGCAGGGCATTGTGGAGCAGCGACTCTGGCCTCCCAGAGAGACATGGGCAGGAATGCGGGAAGAGTGGGATCATTGAAAGGTGGCCATCACTTATGCGGCACCAACTGTTTACCCACCCTTGGTAGCCTGCCCCTAGCATACAGCTGGCCCCAGCATAGAGCCCCCTGTCCCTGACCTGCAGATGGGAAATGAGGGGGGAGCAGGCAAAGCCCCAGAGGCTGCTGCCTTCCTCAGGTCACCCACCCACCCGGGTCCCCCTGCTGTCACTGCTGACGTGTGGCTGGGATGGGTGCATCTCAAAGTGAGTCTGTCACCCCAGTGTTTGAATGGAGCTGTGCGTGTTCTTGTTGGTTTGCGGGTGGCTTTTACACATGTGCTGAGCCTTGTTCTGAATTCTCAAAACCTCTTATCTCCATCGGCAACCAGCTCATTTTGTTGATGAGGAGTCTGGTGACCCCCCGAATAGCGAGGGCACAGCTGGGACCCCTAGGCCCCTCCCAGGGGAGCCACACGCAGCGGCTGTGCCATTGTGCACCACCTGTCAAGAGCTCCTCGCTTGCCACCCTTGTGCTGTCTCTCTGCTTACTTGCACATCTTCCTTTTTTCATGGTCCTGCGGATGAGCCCAGGACCTTGCTCATGCTAGGCTAGTACCCTGACCCGAGCCACATCCCAGCTGTGGTTTGTTTTGTTTTGGTGGTACTGGGGCTTGAACTCAGGACATCGCGGTAGCTAGGCAGGTGCTCTGCTGCTTAAGCTATACCCCCAGCCCCCTTCCCAAAGGCCCAGGAACCATCGGCCTTTGCCTGAGTGCCTACGTCACATGGGAAAATGCTGGTCTGTTCAAGAAGGAAAAACCACCTTCATGACACCTTTTGTCAATCCACTTGCTATAAATTCTGTTCTAAACAGATGCATAGGAACAAGATGGGGCTTGGAAATGCCAAGTAGGAAGTAAGCTGGCCACTTTTGTCTGTGGCAGCAGCAGAGGGTGGAGGACCCAAGGGCTCTACCCTGACCAGGACAGCCAACTGTACAAAGAATTGTCACAAGAAGAATGCAGCTGGCCTGTCACCTCTCCACCAGCCACACACAGCAATCGCTGACACACAGGTTCCTTCTAAACACTGAGAATTCTAGTCCCACCATCAGGTCCTCAAAGCATTGTGGCTGTGCCTTCAGGTGTCCTGCAGTTTCCTACAACAGGCACATTGTATGTGTGTTATGGTAAAAACGTCTGTGACAAAATTTGCCGTCTTAACTATGTCACCCAGGCCGGTCTCAAACTCCCAGCCTCTAGTGGTCCTCTTGCCTCATCCTCCCTAGTGATTGAGCCACAGGTGCCACCGCACCTGGCTTGACCCTCTTTCAGGGTGTGGTCCAGTGGCATTGAGCTTGTTCATGTGCAGCGGTCACCAGTATCCATCTCCAGGACTCTTTTCATCCTGCAAAGCTGAAGCCCCGGCCCCATGACACAGTATCCCTTGCTCTTTCTCCTGCAGCCGTTGGGAGCCATCATTCTTTGCGTGAGTTTGTGTGGCTTTGGTTCTTTGAGACAGGGTCTCCCTACATGGCAGCCATGATTCTGCTTTGTATGAATTTGGTGGCTCTAGTGAGCTCATGTAAGGGACACGTGCAATATTTGTCTCTGTTTTATTCCACATAGTCAAATGTCGTGGAGCATCACTGTAAGGGTCTGGGTGCCATCTTCACCGCACCAGAGAGAGGTTTTCCCACAGTGGGGCTGTTCCATTTCTTCCCACTTTATGGCAGACTCATGGGCTTTGGAAAGGCTCCCACGCTGCATTTATCTCGCATACCCAGGTGCGCACAGGGCTGGCTCCTGCACGCTGGCCATTGTGGGTACTGCCGCCATGGGCACGGGTGTGGAGGTGTGTCTTTGAGACTTGGGTTTCACTTCTTTTGAGTAAACACCAGAAGTGAGCTGCACGAAGGATTCACAAGTTCTAGGTCAGCCAGAGCTGCAGAGCGAGACCCTGTCTCCCCAACCCCTCCCCAAAAAAGAAAAAACGCCACGGCACCCACACATACTGAAAGTGCACAAGCAGTCAGGCGCCAGTGACTCACACCTGTAATCCCAGCTACTCGGGAGGATCGCAGTTTGAAGCTAGTTGGAGCAAATACCTCTTGAGACCTTATCTCAAAAAAAAAAAAAAATCACATAGAAAGGGCTGGGGGAGTCACTCGAGGTGTGGGTCCTGAGTTCAAACCTCAGCACTGCAAAACAAAAAAAAAGAAAAAAAGTGCCCAAGGACCCAACTTCCCTACATTCTTGCCAACACTTGTCAAGTTGTGTCTTTGTTTTTGTGTGGGGGGTTTTGCAGTCGTGGGGATGGAGCCCAGGCCAGGGCCTGGTGTGCACGAGGCACCTGTGCTAGCACAGAGCTCTGCCCTTCCTGTCTCCTTACTCTCCTGCTGTTCTAAGGGGTGTAAGGCCACGTCTCGCTGTCCCTCATGGCTGGGGCTGTCGATCACCTTGTCAAGTGCCTTTGTGGCCGTGTGGCCACCTTTGTATCTGTAGGGAAATGTCTACCGAGTCACACATTCTGCTGTTAACTTTTCTTTTCTGTAGTCCCAGGCTGGGAGTGCGAGCAGGGCCTCAGCGTCCGAGGCAAGTGTCCACCACTGAGCTGTGAACTGATCTCTTAGTATTCTGTCATACTGCATCGTGACATGGCCTCAGTCGGGGGGCCACGCTGTGAGCTTGGCTGGGCTGGCTGACTCATATCCTGGCAGCTGAGGCCAAATCAAAGCCCCTGTGCTGTGCTGTGACCTCACAAGCCTGGCCAACTACTCCCGCCTCCTTGCCGGGGGCCGTCCTCCCTGTTTCTCCCAGCCTTTCCACCAAGGGTGGAGCTGGCCGAGGGTGAGTCAGTGGTGTGTGCAGTGTAGTTTCATTTGGCAAGTGCTGAGGACATATTTGGGGAATGAATAAGAGGAACAAAGAGGAGACATCTGGACAGGCAGGGCTGGCCAAGGTGACTTTCCCCTTCCTCCAAGAGCAGACGGTGGGTGGTGTGTCGGATAGCAATGCTGTGTAACAAGCCCAAACAGCGGCCCATGTGCTGTTTCGCAGAACTCTTTCGTTTGTTTTTTCAGACAGCATCTGGCTATGTGCCCAGGCTGGCCTGGAACTCTAGATCCTCCTGCCTCAGCCTCCCAAGTGCTGGGATTACAGGCGGGACCACTGTGCCCAGCTGTTTCTGAGTTCTGTCTAGTTGACAGGGCTCCTCCACTGGACAGTTCATCTGCTGGTCTCCGGAGGGCAGCTGGGGTGGGCCGTTTAGTAGGGCTGCACTCACATGTTCAGTTGCTTGGCATGGACACTGGGGTGGCCAGGTCCCTCTCTCCCCTCCCTTCTCCCTCCTCTCCATCCTCCCTCTCTCCTCTTGTTGCCTCTGACACTCAAGGCTCTTAAAAGTGCAGGTGAGGGGCTAGGGGTGCGGCTCAGTGTTGTGTACTTGCCTAGCACGCCCGAGGCCCTGGCTTCTGTCCCTAACACCACACATGCACACACACAAAGTTTAGGAGCCAGGCACGGTGGCGCACGCCTGTGATCCCAGCACTTGGGAGGATTTTGAGTTCTCAGCCAGCCTGGACTCAAAAAGCAGTGCTGCCCAATTGGAGGTGGCTGCACCTCGCTTCCGTCTCAGGCCCGATCCTGGGCAGGGGGCGCTCCACAGCCCTGGGTTACCCCGGGCTAGCCAACATGAACTGTCTCCTTCCTCTCCCAGGCCCTGGAGGACCTGCAGGAGTCCGTGGTCCGCTCCTGCTCCCAGGACCTGTCTGTCCACCTGGCCCGCTTCTGTGAGCAGTGCAGACAGCACAAGGCCTGCCGCTTCCTGGCCGCCCAGAAGGGGGCCTACCCCGTCCTCCTGGCTGCCTGCAAGCTGGCCGCCACAGGTGACCCGGGCCTCCTGCTGCAGGCCCTCCACGCCCTGGCAGCGCTGACTGATGGCCAACCTGACCTCCTAGACACCCAGGGCCTGCAGCTGCTGGTGGCCATGCTCGCTAGGAATGCTGATGCGGCCGACCTGACCTGCTCGGGGCTCCGCTGTGTGCGGCACGCCTGCTTGAAACATGAGAAGAACCGACAGGGCCTGGTGAAGGCCGGCGTGCTGCCCCTGCTCACCGGGGCGATCGCCCGGCACGGTCACCATGCCGACGTGGTCAGGGAGGCCTGCGGGGCCCTGCGCATCATGACGTTTGATGACGACATCCGCGTGCCCTTCGGACAGGCCCACAACCACACCAAGATGATCGTGCAGGAGAATGAGGGCTTGAAGGTGCTCATCGAGGCCACCAAAGGTAGGAGAGCAGTCACCAAAGCCCGAGGAAGCCAGGTGGGCAGGCAGCAGTGCAGGAGTGAGGCTCAGAGGGAGAACAGGGCTTAGCTTGAGCAGGTCCTGGGGCTCAGTCCCCCCACCAAAATAAGAGTCTTGGCGTAGGACCGTTTCATCGTCTGTCCACACATAGTAAGTGTGGGGAGGGCAGCAACCCAAAGAGAAGTAGACATGGAGGAGTCTGAAGGTTACTGTGGCAACCAAGGTGGTGGTTCCCACCTTTTTTTGTGTCATTGGTGGTACTGGGGTTTGAACTCAGTGCTTCACACTTCCGAGGCAGGCACTCTACCACTAGAGCCACTTCAGTGGCTTTTTTGCGTTGGGTATGTTTGAGATAGGAGATAGGGTCTTGAGAACTGTCTGCCCAGGCTGGCTTCGAACCATGATCCTCCTGATCTCTGTGTGAGCTAGGTTCCTTTTTTTTTTTTGGCAGTACTGGGACTTAAACTAGGGCCTTCACCTCAAGCTACTTCTCCAGCCCTTTTTTGTGATGGGTTTTTTCAAGATAGGGTCTTGTGAACTATTTTCCCCGGGCTGGCTTTGAACTGCAATCCTCCTTATCTCTGCCTCCTGAGTAGCTGGGATTACAGGCGTGAGCCACAGCACCCAGCTAGGTTCCCACTTTTGTTCACAGGCTGGGGCTCAGCTTACTTGAGTGGCACATGCAAGGCCCTGGGTTTCACTCCCAGCACTTCAAAACAATAACGCAAAAACAGCCTATGCTCTTGTTCGTATTGGGCATAAGTTCTCGTGCACACACATGCTTGGCTGCAGGGTGACCTGTGACCTGGCCACAGGAGGTCATTGCACATCGCGACCTTCAGGCTCTAAAGCCCCTCTCCCCCAGCCCGTCCATCACACCTGTCAGAAAAGGCCCGACCGAGGTCCAGCTCATAGAAGGTGCTGGAAGAATTTGTTCTTGAAGTGCTCTGCCTTTCCTGTGTGTTTGTAGCAGCCCAGGTAGAGGCAGGCTAGTCGCAAGTGTGCTGAGGAGGAAATCCAGGACCCTTGCACGCGCTAAGATGCGCTCTACCACTGAGCCACACCCCCGCGCCCAGTGTCATGTTTTGTGAGGCATGGGTGCACACTGGGGACTGTCCAGTCTGTAGTCCCCCGGAGGCTGGAGACTCCCAGCAGCCAGAGGCCCTTTCTACACAGGGAATCCCTGGTTTCCTTCCTAAGACCTTCATCCGATTGGAGGACGCCCATGACATCACACGGTCACCCACTATACTTAAAGGCAACTGGTGGTGGCTGGTGACACGGCCACAGAACACCTCCATGGCAGACCGAGACCAGTCACGGCAGAGATCACTGGGGGCCACACTGGGCAGGTGGCCGCCTGCCCCAAGTCTTGCAGAGCTGTGTAGAGTATGAACAGCTTCTATTCCCGGGCTGTGCCTTTGAGCAGTGTGCATGCTGCCCGGTGTCCCTCTGCAGCTCCCTGTTACACTTACGAAGGTCACCCACCTGTAATGGCCCTGGTGTCCTGGCAGGGAGCCCTGGAGCTTTGCAGCACCGAGTGGAGGGAGAATGGTTCCCGCGGCTCCCCTGGCTGCCGGCAGGGGGTGCTGCAGGCCAGGCAGGTGCGGCATGGCTCTCCTCACCCTACTGCCTCCTACAGCGTTCCCCGACAACCCTGGTGTCCTGAGTGAGCTCTGCAGCACCTTGTCCCGCCTGGCCATCCGCAACGAGTTCTGCCAGGAGGTGGTGGACCTGGGTGGTCTCAGCGTGCTGGTGACTCTGCTGGCCAGCTGCAGCGACCACCAGGTGGGCTCCAGCCCCTCTCTCCTCGGGCCCCATGGGTGGCTCTCTGTGCTGGTCCAGGGCAAGCCCAGCCCTGCCCAGTCCCCCACTGTCCTCTTTGCACCTTTGTGTGTTTGAGGTCAGGCCTTGAGATCCTCCTGCCTCCACCTCCTCAGCGCTGGGCTCATAGCCGTGGCCACAGCGTCTGGGTAAACCTGTGTACTTACTACCAACAACGGAGAACTGGGATGGGGAGGAGCGCTGCGCCATGCCTCAGTTTCCCCACAGAACAAGGCAAGGTCCACACCTGTCATACCTCTCCTTGTGCGTGGCTCAGAGCAGGGAACAACCACCACACCCCTGCTGAATGAGACCAACAGAAAAGCCTTGGGGGACCCCAGCCCACGGCCACTGTAGTCCTGCTGCCCCCCGAGCCCTGCAGGGCCATCAGCCAGGCTCGCTGCGTGCAGGTGGCAAAGAGCCAACCAGGTGCACTTGTGGACGGTCTCAGCGCAGTGGCTGCTGCTCTGTCCCCGAGCTCTGTCCTGGAGGTTGGCAGCCCTAGAGGGCCTCCCTGCTGTCACTCTCGTGTCCCCTGCCCTGTGAGAGGAGTAGTCAGGTCACCTCCGTGCTCGTCCCCTCCATACTACGTGCGTCACTGCTGTCACGGGCTGCCCACTGCCCCGACACAGTTGCTCAGAGGACTGGCCCAAGCATTCTCGGGGTCCCTCCTCACACCCCACAGTCAGGAGGTCCGTGCTGGCATGGCAGGAGGAACACCTGCCATGGACCACATCTTGCCCTCCACAGGACCTCGTGAAGCAGGTGCTAAGCGCCCTGCGGGCCATCGCAGGCAACGATGATGTGAAGGATGCTATTGTCCGTGCTGGCGGGACCGAGTCCATCATGGCTGCCATGATCCAGCACCTCGCCAGCCCCCGGGTACACCTTGGGTGCAAGGGTGAGGGGTGGGTGAGTCTCAGCCAGGGTCCTCCTCACCCCCGAGAGCTGGCTGGACAATTTTGTCACCCTGCTGTCACCACTGTCACTACCCATGAGCTGGCAGGCCGACGGGGGGAAAGGGCTCATGGGGTGGTGGCCTCGTGGGCTGGCAGGGTGCGAGTGTGCCGCCCCGCCTCAGTGTCCCCACCCGCACCCGCAGGTGTGCGAGCAGAGCTGTGCGGCCCTGTCCGTCCTGGCCCTGCGCAAGCCTGAGAACAGCCGCGCCATCGTGGAGGGTGGCGGGGCTGAGGCGGCACTGCAGGCCATGAAGGCGCATCCACAGGACATCGGTGTGCAGGTGCGTGTGCAGGCCCAGGCCATGGCTGTGTCCACAGCGCCTCCTTCACCCCCAGCCTCAACCCAGGGCCGGCACCACGCCCAGCTGTCCTCCTTAAACAGTACAACTGTCACATCGCGGCTCCCTGTGCTACATATGCCACCTAGAGTCACGTGCCCAGGTTCTAGGTAGTTACTCTGTCATTTTCTCTTTTACGCCCATGCCTCCTGGGCAGCTGGGGTCACAGGTCTGTGCCACCGTGTCCAGCATATTGGTTGAGGTGGGGTCTTGCTAACCTTCCAAGGCTGGCCTTGAAACCTTGATCCCTGTGTAGGTGAGATTACAGGATTGCTGTGTTACGCTGTATATGTACAGGAGGTCCAGAATGTATACAGGATATTCAGTTTTATGTTCTCTCTCTCTCTCTTTCTCATGTATATATATATGATATTATTTGCATGTATACAGGATACAGTATTATTTTGGGGTTACCAGGATTACAGATGGGTGCCACTGCGCCCAGCTAGTCTGTCATGTATAGAAGTGACTGGAGCATCAGTGGAGTTTGGACTCATTGACAATAGGACCTACACTCTCTCCCCCTCTTGCTGTGGCCTCACTGTCCCCATCCCTGGAGGCCCCTAACCTGGCTCTGGGCCAGCCTCAGGGTAACCACTTGCCCGCTTTGAGACTAAGAGTCAGGTAACCTGACCCCTCTCACTTGCCCTGGGGGACCAAGAAGGTCAAGTGGAGAACTGGGTGTAGCCAGGCACAGCAGAGGTGCCTGCTGAGCATCAGCCACAGTCCTCCTCACCTCATTGCATGAGGAGGAGGCCGCTGCGGTCAGAGTGGATCCCAGCCTCGCCCTCTCTCCTGCTCTCTCCCGCAGAAGCAGGCCTGCATGCTGATCCGGAACCTGGTGTCCCGGAGCCCTGCCTTCTCCAAGCCCCTCCTGGAGCTGGGGGCTGAGGCACTTATCGCGCAGGCCCGGGCGGCCCATCCAGACTGCGAGGGCGTGACCAAGGCTGCCCTGCGGGATCTGGGCTGCCACGTGGAGTTCCAAGAACTGTGGACAGGCCAGAAGGGCAACCTGGCACCGTGACCCCAGTCTCAGTCTGGGCTGTGACCTTGGGTGAGTCAGGTGAAGGGGAGCTCTGTGCCCTGCTGCTCTGCATCGTGAGAAGCGTTTGCTGCAAGTCACTGGTCGGGGAGGGGAGCGTCTATGGGGACATGCACCTGGCAGAGAGCAGCCCCTGCCTCCCATCCGAAAGCCCTTGCAGCGTTTCTTGGGCAAAGGGCACACTGGCCACTCATGTCTGTCTGCAGCTCGGGAGTTCCCTGGCAGGGCTGGCTGCTCCACTGTGTCCATGCAGGACCCTGCTGCTCATGTCTCACTGTAAGTGAGTGTGAGGGCTGGGTGCTCTGGGGCAGAGCACCTGCCAGGTGTGTGGCAAGGCTCTGGGTCTTGGGCTCCTCACCCCGCCTCCCCTGTCCCCAAGGCCCACACCAGCACCGTGGTGGCAGTAAAGGACCACTGCATGAGCTTGGAGGCGCTCTTCCTCTTCCGTAGCCCTGCTGGAGGACATGGGAGGCTGTGGGACCCGCCTGGTGCGGACGACCTGCCCCCAACTCTGCTGGGTGGCCTGGAGCGGCCCCTGACCTCTCTGAACGTCACCTGTGAAAGAGAAGTGAGCCTGGGAAGGTGGACAGTGGGCAAGCAGCAGGTCCCCTCCGAGGGGAGCTGGCCAGGCTGGGTCTGTCTCCAGTCTGACCCCAGGAACTACCAGCCGCACCAACTCAGGCACCCCAGGAGAGCCACCCACGCTGGTCCAGGCCACACCATAGTCCCCAGCACTGGGTGTCTCGGGCAGCCACTTCTCCTCGCCAAGCCTCTGAGCCTTTCCCCAGATGTGGGGTGGATATGGTCGGTATCCCCAACACCCCTCGTCCTGGCACGGTGGAGGCCCCAGGCAGGTACTGTGGCACTGCAGACCAGCTGTCCTGCTGTGGAGGTCACACCAAGGTCACCAGCAGCCCACCCGGCTCTTGTGGGCCCCGTGGGGTCAGAGCAGCTCAGGGTCTTGAGTGGGTGCTGCCCCCCCACCCCCCGCCCACACCTTGGAGGCGTCTCCCGTTTGAGGCCCCCACCTGTCACGCACCTCCCCCACCCCAGGAGGGTCTGAGCTCCAGAGGTCCTCCATCTCAGCACTGTCCTTTTCCAGAAGGCTCCGGTTGCCATAGAAATCAGCCCATGCACATGGCATCACCCTGGTCCCACCTTCCTGGACATCTGAGCCTCCTCGCCCCCAGCAGGGAGGGGCCCTGGCAGCTCAGAGGGCAGAGGTGAACCTCTGGGTCACACAGGATGTGGGTGAAGGGCTTCTGAGCCAATCATGTGTGGCCCTGGGCAGCCTCGGGTCCAGGTCCCTCGCTGCATGGGGATGGGTGCTCCTGAGCTGTCTCCAGGGAAGCCTGAGGTGCAGCCTGTGAGCCCTGCCCCAGTGCCCTCCACGTAGAACCAAATCGCACTCTGTGCCCCACAGGCCCAGCACGGTCCGGACTTGGCCTGCCTCCCTCCTTCATCTTCCCCACCCCAGGACCTTTGCACATGCCAGGCTGGAACTCTTCCTGCCTGTTCAGGGCACGCTGGACCCATCACCCCAGTGCTCCTCCACCTCGTGGGTGACTGCTCCTGTTTGTGCCAGCCATCTGTGAGCCGCTGTGGCAGGGGACTGTCCCTCAGCTTCCTGTCAGTGTTTTGAAGTTCACCTGAATAAATGGAGAAGCAGGGTAGCAGTGCAGTGTGGTGGGTGAGATGTTTTCCCAGCTCCCTGCCAGCTTCTTCTGCAGGGGTTCTTCCTCTTATCAGCCCTTCCCACCTTGGCTTGAGGAAGTGTGTGTTTTCAGTGGGTATGGTACACAGGTGGTCACACAGGCCCAAGAGTCCCCATTAACTGGGTCCAGCAAGCTTGGGTTCCCGTCCCCCCTTGGCCACTGCAGACATGTCGCCTCCCTATGTGAGCCTCCGCTCTTAAACCAGGTTGGGTCCTTCACGCTCAGGGCTACAACCCCAGCCAGGCTTGGCTCACAGTACACCCCAGAATGTGTCCTTCCAACAAGGAGACCCAGTACCAAGCACTTGCCGGCCCTGTCACGGACGTGCAGATGTGGGCTGAGGGGGAGATTGCTGCAGGGATGATGGTCAGGCTGTGCCTCTGCTGCTGGTCACCCTTGGACAAGTTGGCCTGACTTCTCTAGGCCTTGGGAGGTTGTGTGGGACCACCTTAACCTGTCCTGGTTCAGAAGTCATCATTGCCGCCTACAAGAATGCCATCATAGTATCAATATGAACCCATCCCATCTCACAGAGGCTGGGGCCTCAGGGTCCCATTTTCTACAAGAAAGAGTCGTCCCCATTCAAAAGGATGACACCCCAGCTGGGCATGTCTCCATACCCCACTTTTATCAACCTTGGTACTGTGACCTTGCGCAGGTGACTTTCTGGCTTCAGGAGACCCTGGGCCTGGTTGGTTGCAGCCCTGCCCAGGCAGAAAGGGCACTACCTCTCCTAGGCAGAGGAGCTGGGATCTAGCAGGACTGGGCTCAGCCAGGTGCCAGTGAGGTGTGTTCTCAGCTGTTGCCAACAAAGCGCAAACAGAAGCCTGAACCTCTGGCACTGTTGGCAGCCAGAGCTGGATGGCTGCCTGACCCTTGCCTCAGTTGGCACTGTCCCGAAGGATGCCATGGATCATTCTAGCTCCTTCCCAAGGCCCAGCAGGTGGGCGCTGACAGCTGGGGAGGGTGCCTCAGTCACACACCTCAGTCAGTGGCAGCCTGTTCACGGGAAGTGCTATTTACAGACAGTGACAACAGGGCCACCTCTAGCACTCAGCCGGCACACACTGTGCGTCAGACCATTGTAAATGGTGGCTTCCATTTCATGGGTGCTTCCCTGGCAGGTGGCTTGGGAGACTGGGGCAGGAGTTGGAGTAAGTGAAAAAAAGAAAAGGGTGGGGGGAGCAGGGAAGCGAGCCCCAAGTGGGGAGGCATGTGTGAGGTGGAGGTCCAGGTGGATGAATCTTGGGACTGTCAGGAGCTAGTGGCTTCCACAGTGTGTGTCCCCGTTTGAGCTTTGTGGAGCATGCATTTAGCTGGGGGTTTCCATGGCCCCGAAATGTGAGCCCTTGTGAAGTTCAGCCTTGCTCTCTCCCAGGATTCTCTGACTCTGAACTTGATCTCCACCAACCCCAGCCTACACCTAGAGGAAGTAAGAACCCTCTCACCCCAAGGACAGGGAGGGAGCCACTGAACTCCAAATGGCAGGTGTGTCCCTAAACTGCCCTCCACCATCCAGCCGAACCCACAGGCCACTGGTCCTCTCTGCAAATGGGGAAATCCAGGCTCAGGTGTGCTTTGCACAAAGCTGGCCCAGTGAGTGGACGAGGCTCCTAATCCAGGTCGCTCGGGCCTCAGTGGTTTCTGACTGTTCCTAATTCCTTTCCTAAAAACAGGCTGCTGGAGAGTGTTGTCCAGTCTGGGCTTGACCTGTGTTCTGGTTTCTGTTAAAAGCGGTCAGTGGTCACTTTGGACCTCACGGGACTGTGGCTAGGTCAGACAGGGACATCGCTGGACCCTAGAGAAGTCAAGACACTTTGAGGAAGTCACACAGGCTCCTCCTCCTGCTCCCACGTCTGAACACCTCCCGAGGTGCAGACCTGGGGTGAGGAGGACATGTCTGTAGGGGGACAGTGGGGAGGCAGTGGCTGGAGAGTTAATCAAGAGTCCTTCAAGATGTCAAGGTCCGAGGTCACGGCCAGAGTAGGAGGCCCTGCCTCTGCGCTATGTGGCCAGAGGGCAGACTTCGCCGGGGCCCCACGGGACTGCGCGGGGAGTCCAAGGCCACCTCCGGCGGTGACGCTCCAGGCCAGACTGCACCTTGCACGCTCTATCCCCGCCCGGGGCGGGGCACCGCCCACGGCTGCTGCGATTAGCCGCGAGGCCTGTCCGTCTTGGCATTCGTAGCCAATCACTACTGCCCTCCAGGCTACTCCCTCCATTCCTTTCGCCTTAGCACCCCCCCACTCCCTGCCGTGGCCTCCTCGGAGCCCCGCCCTTGTTCCCTAGCGATTGGTCAATAGCGCTGTCCGTTTTCGTCCGGACTCCAATCCTCGCTTGATTCCAGGTCCTGCCTCCCAAGCCCTAGCACCCCTGCGGGGAACATTGAGGAGAACCAGAGCCTCTCTCAGTAGCTCCGCCTCTATCCCTCAGCGATTGGCTGAAGGGGATACCTATCTGCTGCACGCCCGCCAATTCCTTCTGTCTCCAGCTCTGATTGGTCAGAAAACAGCCAATCGGAACGCGGTGTGGACCCCTCCCTTGGCGCGCGCTGGGGGTGCGCGGGGCGGGGCCGTGGCGGCTGGCGGCGGCGGCAGCGGC